CGCTCTAGTTCTTCTTTTTGTTTAATAAGCTATTAGCGCAAGAATAATAACGCAAGGAAGATGATGCTACGCCAACATCAGAGGAAATCAGCATTCGAGATTCTGGCTTTTATCTGATGTTAAACAGCAACGTCTAGTAACATAGTGAAATACGTAACTACTTCTTCAACAAATTCATACTGGATTTTGATCATATTACAGAATACTTACAATGGTTGACTGTAGTTACTTTCAATATGTATTCAGTTCCCTGAAATAGTGCATGAGCATTTTTGTTTTAACGACAAGGCAATCCTGTGTATAGTGTATACGTTCTTATTACTTAAGAAGAGAAAGGTGTGATACTTTCTTTTAATACGAGTCATCAACGTCAGTTTGACTTAGAAGAAAGAGTCCAATGTACTACAAAAGAGGCCAAATACTAGATATGGCGGTAGTAGGAAAAATATAGACTGAACATGAAAATAAAAACGAAGAAAATATTTATAAGCGCTTTTGCGTGGAGCCAATAAAATAAAGAAAAAATTGTTTAAAGAATGAATACCGGTTTATAGCCTGAAGCGCAGCAAACATTCTGAAAAAAGACATTAATTAATTGTTAGGCAAGTGACATCTGTTATTGTAAAACATCTATCATATATATATTGTTGGTTCGCAAGCTAGGCACAAGCCATTAACGACTTTAGTGAGTTCGATATTGGTGTTAATAAAATAAAAAAATGTAAATAAAATAAATAGCTTGTCACGTTTTTTTTAAATGGAGTTGTTCCCAAATTATTTTTATAATCCCCAAATTTGGAATCCGTACGAACTCGGCAAATTAGCCAATATATGCCACCGCATTCAACTTCCCTATTCTTCAACAATTACTTTCTGTTAGTTATCAGGACCTCATTCCAGGGAAGGGAATGGTTATCTTGGAAATATTAATGATACTTCTCAGTTATAAACGGTAAGGTAAGCTGAGTATATATTTAAAATAGTTGAAGCACTATCGGATATGAAATAAATATTTTCTTTCAATATATTATTAAGCGAATTCGCTCAAGTAATTGATTTCTTTTTAAATATTTCAACCGCATTTTCATTAAATGCTGGTTTGTTGGAATCTGGATGGATTCATTAAACCAGACTTGAAAGGAATTATGCGTTAAGGTTATGATGAAGGCTGTATTTCTATAGAATTTAAGAAAATACCAATATGTTAAATCCAATTAAACAAAAGTTGAATGAGTGATAAGAAAATAATCCATACGTTTTTAGAGATAAACTGATAGAAAATAAAATTCAAATTTTGAAAGACGAGCCCTATTTGATCTAGGTACACTATATGGGGATGGTAAATATGGTAAAATTGTCGGTTTTGACCATGTTGTGATATAACATTTACATACGTGCACAATTCGTGTCGGTGCGTTAGATGATTACACATGCTGTCATAAGAGTCCAGTGAAAACTACGGAAACACACGTCCTCCTTTTGTTTTAGAACCATTTAAAAGCGGCCGGAATTTTATGAGTATTACGAAGAATTGCTACATACATTGGATATGACGTGTCGGTAGTGCTTCGAGGTTAGCAACAGTAGTCAAATTAATATTCCTAAATTGGTAGACCAGGTTCAGGACAGTCATGTACTACAGACGCTTGTCAATGGAAAATGACAAATTGTACCGCGTCAACAACTCAGATCAGAGCAAATGGGATTACACAATTGCCAACACGGAGGCTTGGAAATCATTAAATTGCCACAGAAATAGGCTATGCGTGATTCAACACTGTCAGATTTTATTATGCAAGTCAACGTTTTCACAATAAAATCGGCATGGTTAAGATGTTTTCAAAATATATTTAATTGTCAGTTTTATGTGCAAGTTTCAGTTTTTAACGCCTCTCCTTATTGAAAATATTGATAATAATTTGTTTTCTCTGTCAAGTTTTATTACAAAAGCAATCTCAGTGTAGCATATTAATTTTATTTAGAAAGAAATCCCGAAAATATCGATCATAGAAACATAAACATAGATTTGACTAGAACAATATTTCCGTACATGTATCCGAATAAATTATTTCATCATGTTACATATTAATATGGATTACTCCATATTCTATAACTTCCATGAGGTTTTATTGATTTTGTTAACTTTTTACTCTTTCGACTTTTACATAACTTGCAGTAGGTTTATAGAAATGATCGTTGATTGAATAAAAGTTTTCATTGTCATATTCATCTTTTGTTTGAATGGGGGACTTGCATATTTAAAGGTACGTGTACCTTTAAACAGGTGCGAATCTGAGTGTACGTAAGATTATATAAAATATGTATGTGTATTCTTATACGGTGGTCGGCTGAAAAACTCATAGACTGACCAAGATAATCTCATGAAATGTGACCAAGTGAAGTTTATTTTCAACATAGCTTCCCCCACACACCTTGCGGTACACAGACTTCTTCCAACGGTGTTGCAGTGCTTGAATCCCATTAGTGAAGAAACTTTTATCCTGTTAGTCAAAAATGTAATCACCAGCATATATGGTGTAATCACCACTGCGATACTGGTTTTCCAGCCAAGTATTTTTTTTCATGTTGGGTAAGAGATGATAGTCAAATCAGGAGAATAGGGAGAGTGCTCAACCGGTTTACAGTCATGCACAGCAGCTATTGAAACCAAGGAGCTGTGTGCCGGGGAACTGTCCTGATGAAACAAAACCCCTTTTGTCAGTTTTCTTGAGCTTTTGGTTTTGATAGCCTTTTGTAACTGCCTCAGAAAGTTGGCATAGTACTTGTCATTGATGGTGTGACCTTTTTGATGATAGTCAATAAACGCTATGGAGTTTGCATTCCAAAAAGCCGAAGCAATCACCTTTTCTTCTGATGAAACGACATTGACCTTCTTTGAAGCAGGTGAAAAGGGGTTATTTTTCACTGCATGTATTGTGTCTTTGATTCTGGCTCAGTGATGAGCCCGGCACTCGTCCAAGGAAACTAGTTGGATCTACCTCAATGTCAGATTTTCCCGTGATGTAATCAGCTGGTTCGCTTTTAATCAGGTGTTAGAAGACGTGGAACCCATTGAGCAGAAACCTTCGTCATACCAACTTACTTGTGGAAAATATTCTCAAAAGAGATATGCTAATAGCATTGGCTATTTGATTTATAGCCAATCCCCTGATTGAACACAATCAATGTTTATTCTCGGTGTTGGCAGTTGCGGGACGTCTAGACCTTGTGTCATATTCAAGGATCTCCCTTCCCCTCCTAAATTCAGTTACTTAATTTTGCACTGTTGATAAAGTTGAATGTAGCAACCATGTCAGCATGAATGTCCTTATGGGTTAAACTCCTTTTTCTGCAGGTACATGATAACACCACGATGCTAAATTTTGTCCATTTTCAAGAGAAGTCACGACTAGTTACTTTTGAAGTTTTCTTTCTACACTCAGATATCAGTTTACCTGGAAAGAAACAATGCAATTATTAATAAGAAGAGTTGAAATTAATGCATGCAAGATTTCACAGCTCTAGCATCTGTCCTTCATAATCAGCTTATGAATTTTTCAAACCACCATCATATGTGTGTGTATATATCAATATGTGTGTAATACACTATATATACAGGGTGATTGAAAAGCAACTCCTTATTTTATGTATGATTATTTACCCGCTGCCACACGCAGCACGATGTGGTACAAGGCCGAGTTTAAAGTGGGGTATCCGAGCCCCTTAGGCTCGGGAAAAAATTCCCCATAGACCACGTAAAAACGGTGTCAGATTCCCGAGTCAAGACTCTGCCGAAGGGCAGAGTCTCGTCTGGGGGATACCCTCTGACATAAGCCATGAAAGTGCAGTTGTCCTTATTTTGGATGTTAGTAAACCATTTGATAATGGGTGGCTTTTTCTTTGGGATTGGTAAAAGGAGCAAGTTTACTATACCAAAACAAGAGTTTAGAAGAAATTGAAGGGTGAATACAAGAAGTTATGCCTTCAATTGACGCGAGTTACTTTTCAATTACGCTGTATATAATGTATACCTATATATACTTATATATAGACGTACAAATCTATATAATAAATGTTAATATCAGTGTGTCACACTTTTTCAACTTTACTCCTGGATTCCGTAGACCAACATATCATAGCATTTTGGAATCAGGCTGACTCCGTGAGCAAAGTAAAACCATTCCCGGTCGAATCTGAACACGCAATCCTGAAATTTGGGATTTCCAAGTTTTCATTACTGTTTCGGCAATTTTTTACGTGATTTTTTGCGACGAAATTTTTTGTACGATAACACTTTTTGGAACTTGAAAATAAATTTGGGAATAATCGAAATTAATTGCGAAATCCAGCGAAAGTCACTCGTGAAATAAAATAATACATTGTACGGAAAATAATGACTTACGTACATCAAATTGTCCGTAAATGAAATATGAACTCATTTGCATTTTTATATACATAGTTGAATATTTGCACGTAAATTGACGATTATGGAATCGTATATAAAATTATTGAAAATAATCATATACACTGAAGGTTCAACTCCGATTAAATTAAATGTTAATTAGAACTCATTGTAGAGAAATAATTAAAATACTTGAATACTAATGTAATAATTCACATTCAATTTAAAAATATGATTAAAAATTAAAAAAAATATTTCGTCCTTTGTCTCTATGAAGTTTTTAATGGACTAATTAATAAAATAGATGTATATTACATACAATTCTTTAAAATAGTTCTACACATGAAGTCACATACATACAATACATGCATATTTAAATTATATATATACCATTCTTAATAATCGTTCGATGAAGCTAATGCGAATATTTTTATTTTGTAAGTAGTAACATTAGCGTTCCTACTAATAACTAGAAAAGTATTTCTTTACTAATGTGATCCAGATGTGCCATAATGATATTATGTAATAAAAATTAAACAATCAGACCTTGTCAGTTGATTTTAATAAAATTGATTTGGGTGATTTCTTGTTGCTTAAG